GACAAAGATTTGTCCTGACTGTGGGCAAAGCAGGAAAACTCTAGCTACAATATATCATTAAGAAATTCAGATTAATAGGCATTTATGATAGTCAAACTTTTAGCATGTTAATTAAGTTTTCTAGGTATACAAAGATATATTTCAATTAGATAGATAATCTTCAAACACTTCAAAGACCTACAGAATATGGAATTTAAAATGTCTTAAGAATTTAGATTTTTCTGGATGGTGAGACATGTCTGCTCCTGGTAGCACCAATTACTTTGAAGAGGATGATGGGCACTGAAGAAACTCTTTATGGAGTTTGCTCTGAGCTTCTGGCTACATTATTTGCCTGACCCAAACCCACTAAGAAGGAAGGAGTAATCCACATTTCCCAAGTCCCTGGCCAATCTTTTCCAGAAATGCAAGAAATGTCTGCACCAGTGTCCAGCAAAAACAGTTATTTTCTTTCCTTGTATTTTAAGAGTTTTAGATGGTCTAGAGTCTCTGATTTCCTGAATCCAGAAAGCCATGTCACTAGAACCAAAACCAGCAGTTCCCCTTGGGGCTGCACAGGCTGTGCTTCCTGTAACCTGATATGGGAGCAGCAGCAGCTGTGTTATGTGCTGTCCTGCACAAATATGAATTCTTTTTGTGGGTTATACAACAATTTTAATTTCTCCAGTAAAGTCAGGATCAATCACTCCTGGGACAACATTAAAAACTTTAACAAAAGAGGAGCTATGGCCTATTATTAGCCCCAGTGTCCCCTCTGGGGGAGGTCCATAGACTCTGGTGTTAAGACAAACTGATAGGGAGTTGTGAGTTAATATTATAAAGGTGGTGGTACACAAGTCCATTCTTATACTTCTGCATGTTGCGCTCTGAAATTGTTGAATGGTCCTCCATTTAAGAAGGGGTTGTTTGTCTAGGCTGGCTGAACTTCTCCTACTATTTGATGGGGCTGGGGCTGATCCCTCACGAAGTTTCCCTGGTTATCCAGGGGTCTTGCACTGATTGGGGAGGCAGTAGCAACAATTAGGAGAGTGCCATCCCTATAGAAATTGGGACTTAAAATCCCTTTTCCAAAAAAAGCCTTTTTGGCAATGAGGGCATAATCCAAGAGGCATGCTTTGATTTATATTGTGAGCCAAAGCTGGAGCATTTGAGCTTATATTAGTGCCTCTGGAACTGGAACTTATATTAATCCCTCTTTGAAAGGAGCAGTATTTGCTAGTATGCCCAATTTGTCCACATGAGAAGCATTTGAGACCCATGCTTCTTTGATCAATTATGATTGATCACCCCATTGTTGTGTATTTAGAAATTGGGTAGTTGTTCATTCCTATAATGCCACTGCCATTGCCACACCTTGAAAGTAAGAGGGACTGACATCAACACCTGCTTTAACATAACCAGAAATGCTCCCAGTTTTCTTTATTGGAGTTAATAGAGATTGACAAATAGGAGAAGCATTTTTAAAAGCCAATTGTTTCAAAAATGGTATCTCTTGCTTCAGAGCTGGGAACTGCTCTCTCCACAGCCTCCATTAGTCTAGCAATAAATTCTGTAAATGGATCCTCTGGTTATAGTAGTGAGCCCTTTGGTGTTAGCCTTAGCTGATGGTAAATGCTTGCATGCTGCTAAAGCTGCTGTGGAAATTGTCTGCAAGGTTCCCTGTGATAACTTGAATTGTTCAGCTGTCTCAAACCATTTTCCAGTGGCCATGAACATCTCATATGTTAAGTCTCCCCACCTCTCCTTCTGGCAGTTTTAGACATTTTCTGGTGAGCGAGGCACTCATAGTCAGCTTTCCATAGTAAGAAAGTGCTTCCTGCTAAACAAGCTTTAGCTACTTGGGACCAATTAAACTCTCCACAAGATTGAGTGTATATGGAGAAGTTGGCCCAAAGGCAGATGTAGCCTGTTTTATTTCCTTAAGCAGTTTAAAAGGAAGGGGTTCCCATGTGGGCTGGTCATTAGTTCCTTGACTAGGAACAATAACAGGAAAGCATCATAGTGCCTCACCCTGAAGGTGGGTTTGTCAGATCACTCCAGCAAAACCCACCAGCTCCCTTCACTTCTTTTTATGTTTTTCAGGGGGCCATGTGGAGTGTATGGTTAAACACTGTAGCAGAAGGCAGCTGGGTGTTCAACAGCTTATTGCTCCCTTTACCCATTCATCTTCTTCCTCAGAGATTGATTTTTCATCACTAAAATTATCAGAAATCTCCTCTTTAGGGTCCCTTAAAGAGGGGGGAATGTTCTGTTTCGATTCTGAACATGGAGACAGTGTGTGTGTGTGTGTGTGTGTGTGTGTGTGTGTGTGTGTGTGTGGTGTTCTCTGAAGGAGAGGGGCCATGGTATGAGCAGATGGTGAGAGAATAGTTAGCTCTGATTCTAGCTGGAACTTAAGTTCTTGATCAGTTGTCAGAGCTTGTTTAAGCATATTCCACATGGAAAATGCTATGGATGGCATCTGTTGCACTCCACACTGTGCATGCCAGTTCTTAATCTCCTTCCATACAGCTTCCCAGGCCTCAGAATTCGTGGCCCCATGGTTTGGGAAACAGGGACTTACTTTCTGTACAAATTTAAGAAACTCAGAAAGTTGACTAGAATTAACTCAAACTCTTTCATCTTAGCATATGTTTAATAACTTCCACAAGAAGCTGTTTCTATTTAGATTCATTTTGTCACATAGTACAGGAAAGATTTAAGGAGAGTGCTAAAGGGAGGGGTTATTCAATGTCTCTACTCACTGCTCTGACAGGCAGTGGGTTCCCCCAGGATCTGCAGAATCCTTTGGTGAGATCTTGATTGTAGTTGACGACTAGGGAGGTCTCCTATTCATATCTCTGGGAGGGGCTAGGTCTCCCTTTGCTGGACAGCCCCCATCAAGTGATACCTCTTCCCCTGGATATGCTTGAATACCTACTTTTTTTTGATTCCCTAACACCCAGGCACCAGGTAACGAAGACTTTTAAGTACCTACCTTAAAAACTTTCTTCCAGGGTTCTAAATAGGTACTAAAACAAATGAGGAAATACTAATATCTGAGAACAAGAATAAGTCTGCTCACACTGTGCTCTTTCTATCCATGTCTCTTTATTGTTCTGAAACTATCCAAGTTCTACAGTGAGAGTACCAGTTTATATACATTTACAAACAGTGGGTTCTTTGGCAATATATTACAAGGCTTGAATTTCTCAAAGAGATAAGATTGACACACAGAGCAGTTACTGTCAGCTTTCATTTACGGCACAAAGTGAGAGTGGTTAATGGAGGTTTCCTGATGAGGTCAACTACAGATTAAACCAACAAAGGAAATCTAATTTGTGCTCTTAAACTACAGTCTTAAATGTGGCTAGGTAATAAGCTAAAAGTCTATAATCAGTAAAAATCAAAAATAAGGCTAAAAAAAAAAAAACTGTCTTTTTCTCCATGTGATGCTTCCAAGCAGCTCGCATGCTGCTTTTCCAGTGGGCAGGGGAAGTGTCCTCTGTTACTAGGCAACCAACATAAGTAGTAAAGGAATACATGCAGCTTTTGGTATGCTGTAGAACTTTTGCCAGTGTTGTCTGGCTTTAAAGAAGCTCTCAGATCTAAAGGATTACACCTTTTGCCTTAAGCGGTTAAAACAAAGGGAGGACATGAGCCTATTTTGCACAACATATGGAACCTGGCATCTCTCAGCTGCTCTAGTCTTAGTGGCATAAATCTCAGCCAGTCTGGAAAATTATCTTTGAGAATGAACAAATGTGTAATTACTTTACCTGTTATCACAAGCAGTAAATCTCTAAGCTAAAATCTTGTATTAATAAACCAAGGTGAGAATAAAAGCAAGGAGTTAAGGGTCTGTTAGTGTGAGGTAGTTTGGGTCAGCAGGATGAAACCAGCGCATGATTGTTCCCTATCTATCTGAGTGGCTATAAATCAACAGGTCCAGACATGTAGTATCTGTGAATGTCTCAAATGAGATTTTCCTGGACACTAACACTGGCCAATAAGGATAATTGCAGGAAGGCAGACCTCTAAGTTCACACTGGAAAATGGAACAAGTACTTGGTTGTGGGAAACAAAGGTTTTGTTTGTGTGACTGCTTTCACACATAGCTTAGGGAGGTCATCCAAAATATACCAATACATAGAGGAAATTATGCCCAATAAATGATCAAAACACTGCTAAACTGTGGGAATAAATCCCAAATTTGTAACAGATGGGAAGCGCTGTAGCTAACAAGAAATCCTGCAGCCGGACCAGCAATCCATTCAAAAAGCAAATAATCCAAAAATGCTATGTGTGATGGTTTCCTCCAACAAAATCCACATTTCTGATTGGTTGGCCTCATAAATGATGGATTAATTCTTATTGCATAATTCTGCACCATGCAATATTTTGTTGTCTAATTGCTATAGCTAGAACTTCAAGTACTATATTGAATAGATATGGAGAGGGTGGACAGCCTTGTCTTGTTCTTGATTTTTTATGGAATCATTTTGAGTTTCTCTCCATTTAATTTGATGTTGGCCGTTGGGTTGTTGTAAATTGCCTTTATTATGTTTAGACATTTCCTTGTATCCCTGATCTCTCCAAGACCTTTTTTGAAGGGGTGTTGGATTTTGTCAAAGGTTTTTTCAGCATCTAATGGAATGATAATGTGGGTTTTTTCTTTCAGTTTGTTTATATAGTGGATTACATTGACAGATTCCTGTATGTTAAACCACCCATGCATATCTGGGATGAAGCCTATTTGATCATGATGGGTTATTATTTTTTTTTTGATGTGTTCTTGGATTTGGTTTGACAGTATTTTATTGAATATTTTTACATCAATGTTCATGAGGGAGATTAGTCTGTAATTCTTTCTCTTTGTTGCATCATTGTGTGGTTTGGGTATCAGGGTAGCTGTAGCTTCATAAAAAGTTTGGCAATATTCCTTCTGTTTCTATTGTGTGGAACAATTTGAGGAGTAATGGTATTAGCTCTTCTGTGAAATTCTGATATCTGCTCTGAAACCATCTGGCACTGAGCTTTTTTTTTGGTTTTTTTTTTTTGGTTTTGGAGATTTTTAATGACTGTTTCTATTCCCTTAGGGGTTATAGGTCTATTTAAATTGACCTATTAATTTGGGTATGTGGTACCTATCCAAAAAATTGTCCATTTTAGTTTTTTCAATTTTGTGGAGTACAGGTTTTTGAAGTATGACATGATGATTATCTGGGTTTCCTTATTGTCTGTTGTTATGTCTCCCTTTTTGTTTCTGATTTTGTTAATTTGGATATTCTTTACCTGCCTTTTAGTTAGTTTGGATAAGGGTTTGTCTATTTTGATTTTCTTGAAGAACCAGCTCTTTATTTCATTGATTCTTTGTATTGCTCTCTGTTTCTATTTTATTGATTTCAGCCCTCAATTTGATTATTTCCTGCCATCTACTCCTCCTGGGTGAGCATGCTTCTTTTTGTTCTAGAGCTTTCAGGTATGCTCTTAAGTTGCTAGTGTGAGATTTCTCAAAATTCTTTATGTAGGCACTTAGTGCTATGAATTTTCTACTTCGCATTGCTTTCATAATGTCCCATAAGTTTTGGTTGCTGTGTATTCATTTTCATTGAATTCTAGGAAGTCTTTAATTTCTGGATTTCTTCCTTGACCTAGTGGTGATTCAGTTGAGCATTTTTCAATTTCCATGAGTTTGTAGAGTTTCTGTAATTTGTGTTGTTGTTGAATTCTAACTTTAAGCCATGATGATCAATTATGGTACAGGGGGTTATTAGAATTTTTTTTGTTTGTGTGTGCCTTTTGAGATTTGCTTTGTGGCTCAATATGTAGTCAATTTCAGAGAAGGCTCTATGAGATGCTCTCAGGGTATACTTTTGTGTTTGGGTGAAATGTTCTATAAATGTCTGTTAAATCCATTTGAGTCATAACATGTTAGTTCTCTTATTTCTGTTAAGTTTCTGTCTCAGAGACCTGTCCATTGGTGGAAGTGGGGTGTTGAAGTCTCCCACTATTAGTGTGTGGGGTTTGATGTGTGATTTAAGTTTTAGTAATGTTTCTTTTACAAATGTGGTTGCCCTTGTCTTTGGGGCATAGATGTTCAGAATTGAGACTTCATCCTTTTTTTGGTTTTTTGAGTCAGGGTTTCTCTGAGTAGTTTTGGTGCCTGTCCTGGATCTCACTTTGTAGACCAGGCTGGCCTCGAACTCACAGAGATCCACCTGCCTCTGCCTCCCTAGTGCTGGGATTAAAGGAGTGCACCACCACCACCCGGCAAGACTTCAGCTTGATGGATTTTTCCTGTAATGAGTATGAAATGTCCTTCTCTATCTCTTTTAATTGATTTCAGTTTGAAATCTATTTTGTTAGATATTAGGATAGCTATGCCAGCTTGCTTCTTAGGTCCATTTGATTGGAAAATCCTTTCCCAACCCTTTACTTTGAGGCAATGTCAGTCTTTGAAGTTGAGGTGTATTCTTTGTATGCCGCAAAAGGATGAATCCTGTTTTTGTATCCATTCTGTTAGCCTATGTCTTTTTATAGGTGAATTGAGTCCATTCATATTAAGAGATATTAATGACCAGTGATTGTTAATTCCTGTTATTTTTTTGGTTTTGTCAGTGGTAGTGTTTGTGTGTCTCTGTGTGTTTCCCTTCCTTGAGATCTGCTGGTGTGAGATTATCTATTGCCTGTGTTTTTGTGGGTGCAGCTAACTTCCTTGAGCTGGAGTTTTTCTTCTAATACTTTCTGTAGGGCTGGATAGGTATTGTTTAAATCTGGTTTTGTCATGGAATATTTTGTTTTCCCCATCTATGATGATTAAAAGTTTTGCTGGGTATAGTAGTCTAGGTTGGCATCCATGGTCTCTTAGTATCTGCAAAATGTCTGTCCAGGCCCTTCTGGCTTTTAGAGTCTCTATGGAGAAGTTGGGTATAATTCTGATAAGTCTGCCTTTATATGTTACTTGGTCTATTTCATTTGCAACTCTTAATATTCTTTTTTTTTCATTCTGTATGTTTAGTGTTTTGATTATTATGTGGCAAGGGGATTTTTTAAAAATTTGATCAGTATATTTGGTGTTCTGTAAGCTTCTTGTATCTTCATAGGCATGTCCTTCTTTAGGTTGGGAAAATTTTCTTCTGGTTTTGTTCTGTGCCTTTGAGTTGGAATTTTTCTTCTATCCCTATTATTCTTAGGTTTGGTCTTTTCATGGTGTCTCAGATTTCCTGGATGTTTAGTGTTAAGAATTTGCTGGATTTAACATTTTCTCTGACCAATGAACCTATTTCCTCTATCATATCTTCAATGCCTGAGATTCTTTCTTCTATCTTCTCTTGTATTCTGTTGGTTATGCTTGCATCTATAATGCCTGTTCATTTATCCAGATTTTCCATTTCCAGAATTCCCTGTTTGTTTTCTTTATTGTGTCTATTTCAATTTTCAAGTCTTCAACTGTTTCTGTCACCTATTTGTTTTTTCTTAGCCTTCCTTAAGGGATTTGTTGATTTCTTCCAATTTTTTGTTGGTCTTTTTCTCATTTTTAAGGGATTTTTAAAATTCCCTCTTTAAGAGCCTTTATCATCTTCATAAAGTTGTTTTAAGGTCATTCTCTTCTGTTTCATCTGCACTGAAATATTCAGGTCTTGCTGTTGTAGAACCACCAGGTTCTGGTGGTACCATATTGCTCTTTATGTTGTTGAATGTAGTCTTACACTTCTGGTTAGCCATCTGGACTTGGGATAGTTATAGGCACAGGTGTTGCTCATGATGTGTTTATTGGATGGGTCTTTTGTTCCTTTATTGTGTATTTCCTTTATTGCTTTTGGCCTGAATGGCCAAGAGTTTTGGTGATTGGCTGGTTATCAGGTCAAACAGGATTGTTTCAGCTGAGGTTTGTGGTGGTTTGGGTACCTAGACCCAGCTTTCCTGCTCAGGGATTGGTTGGTTTCATGTTCAGTTCATCAGGGGAAGAGTGTTTCTTTGGCTCTGGTTTCAGGGCCAAAGTGTGTCTTTCACTGGCTCTGGTTTCAGGGTCAGGGTATGTTTCTTTGGCTGGCCCTTTACCCTACACATGTGGCCTCATAAATTCATTTTTCTCTGAGTTTGTAGGTACAAACAATATAAAAAATGGACATCATAATGCTTGAACAGATATTGACATTGTCAAATTTTCTTCTATAGAATAAACACTCTAGTGTAACTGAATGCAACTGTGTTGGATAAATATCTTACAAAATACTTTATAATAATAAGCCCTCAGGATTTTTTTCAGGTACTCAAAGACTATTGTAATATGCAAAGAATTTAACAGAATGATTGCACACTAAAAGTTTTACTCCTATATAAAGTGCAAAACTTTACTACACTGACTAAATTTATAGGGTTTCTCTGCAGTATGATTTTTTCTCATGATTTCGAAGACTACTGACACATGCAAAGGCTCTACCACATTGATTGCATTCATAGGGTTTCTCTCCAGTATGTGTTCTTTTATGCATGTGAAGAGTATTGTGATGAACAAAGGCTTTACCACACTGATTACATTCATAGGGTTTCTCTCCAGTATGTGTTCTTTTATGCACTTGAAGAGTACTGTGTTGTGCAAAGGCTTTACCACACAGATTGCATTCATAGGGTTTCTCTCCAGTATGTGTTCTTTTATGCTTTTGAAGATTACAGTGATGAGCAAAGGCTTTACCACATTGATTACATTCATAGGGTTTCTCTCCAGTGTGTGTTCTTTTATGCATTTGAAGATGACTATGATGTGCAAAGGCTTTACCACATTGATTACATTCATAGGGTTTCTCTCCAGTATGTGTTCTTTTATGCATGTGAAGAGTACCATGACGTGCAAAGGCTTTACCACATTGATTACATTCATAGGGTTTCTCTCCAGTATGTGTTGTTTTATGCATGTGAAGAGCACTGTATTGAACAAAGGCTTTACCACACTGATTACATTCATAGGGTTTCTCTCCAGTATGTATTCTTTTATGTCTTTGAAGATTACAGTGATGAGCAAAGGCTTTACCACACTGATTACATTCATAGGGTTTCTCTCCAGTGTGTGTTCTTTTATGCCTTTGAAGATTAGAGTGATGAGCAAAGGCTTTACCACATTGATTACATTCATAGGGTTTCTCTCCAGTATGTGTTCTTTTATGCATTTGAAGTTGCCTGTGATGTGTAAAAACTTTACCACATTGATTACATTCATAGGGCTTCTCTCCAGTATGTGTTCTTTCATGCCTTTGAAGATAATTGTGACATACAAAGGCTTTACCACACTGATTACATTCATAGGGTTTCTCTCCAGTATGTGCTCTTTCATGCATTTGAAGAGTATGTTGATGTATAAAGGCTTTACCGCACTGATTACATTCATAGGGTTTCTCTCCAATATGTGTTCTTTTATGTATTCGGAGATTATTTTCACATACAAAGGCTTTACCACACTGATTATATTCAGAGGGTCTCTCTTCAGTATGTATTCTTTTATGTATTTGGAGATTACCATGATGTGCAAAGGTTTCAACACACTGAGTATATACAGAAGGTTTCTCTCCAGTATGACTTCTTTCATGCCTGTAAGGATAATTGGCACAAGTAAAAGTGTTACCACATTCAATATACTGTTGAATCTTTATATCTGTATGAATTAATTTTACCATTTGGTCCAATTGTAAAGAGGAATCAGATCTTAAGATTGTATTACTGTATTTACACTCATGTTGTTCCCATTCATTAAGGGTTGTTTTGTATTTTTTAAGATACCTATGATGGTAAAATCCTTTATTACATGGTTCACATTTACAGAACCTTTTCCTATATGAGATTTTTCACATATTTGAAGAGAACTGGAAAAACTCAGAGCTTTACCAACTTTGGTGCATTCATAAATTTTCCTATACTGTGAGTCATACTACCTTTGCAAAGTGAACTAGGTACTCATGGGGCTTTTTGGCAGTGTGAGTTTGTTGATGTATTAACAATGAAACTAGAAAACCAATTACTTGTATACTTGAATCAAATTCAACAGTTATACTCAACATGGGGAATGCTACATATCTTCTAATTTTTCTGAGAGGTATGTTATGTTGTTCCATATCCCTATGTTCATATGTCTTATCTCCAGAGAGACATATCATATGCTTAGTAAAGGGAGAACAATGAATAAAAGGGTTCCACATTGAATTCATACAGTTTGACTTTCCATTCCTCATAATTTTGTGGTATAGGGGTTAATATATATCCACAACAACTGCCCCTTGACTCTAACTGCCTCTCCTTTCACTCAACTTAGCAGTCACAAGTGTATGAGTTACACTAGCTTTACTATGGACTATTTACTTATTAGAATGTTTTGAAGATATACTTATTACCTCTTCAATGTATATGCCTTTTGTAATATGAGTGGTATGAAACTAAATAGATTGACAGTTCTACAGCATAGCTCTCATGGTGTTATGATTCAAGTGGTGATATCTGTTAAGGCATTGTTTCCTTGTCTTTTTTAAAAGCATGCCTTGCAAAGGCAATTCACCTACCTGAAATTGAGGTATATAGTTTTTTGAGAACTTCATAATCATCAATGCACTTTAAGTTGTGCTTATTTACATGGTTGCTTTTGTGTAAAACTTTCAGGACACATTATAATTTCTTCAGAGACACATTTGTATCAGCTTGCCCATGAAAATTACCTTTCATGTCTTCCAGAACTTTGACAATGTACTTCAATATTACTGTCTTCCCAACTGTATCCTAAAATATAGTACCAGAAAATGTATGTTACTTAATTGAAAACTATGCAAAATTTAAGTTACTATCCTCAGTGAAACTTAGAACTATGCCTGATTTATTCAGCTCACTCTTCTTTCTCAATCAAATTACAGAAAAGCATCAATAACTAAGAAACAGTTGTCTCATTTTAAAACATGAAGGAAAATTCAGTCTTACCTATGGTGGTAAGGTTCCTGTATGTCTCCAGCATCACATCTTTGTAGAGATTCTTCTGGAAAGGATCCAGCAAAGTCCACTCTTCCCAAGTAAAGTTGACATGCACATCATCATAGGTGATTGTATTCTAAAATATCCCATACATGTGTACAATAGAAAGCATGATGCTAACAACAGTGTAAATGTATACTTCTTTGACAATATAGTCATATAATTCTGGTATTCCCCATACCTATTCCATAACATACACATTCTAATTTTACCAGCAAGTGACTTTAGAAGGAAACTATATGGGAGGTTCACCTCTGCCATTTCTGTACCCTTTGAATGGGATATCACCTTATAAGAGAAATGCCTATTAACAAACATAGAGAGACAAGTAAACAGATCAACAGTACAGAGTACACATGACAGAAATTGTATGAACAATTAATTACTAACTACAAAAAGGAAAAAATAATATGGGCAAGCTGGGTGTATTGGCTCATGCCTTTAATCACAACACTCAGAAAGCAGAGGCAGGTATATGTACCTCTGAGTTGAATGCCAGCCTAGTCTATGCAACCAGGACCAGGACAGCCAGAAGTACATATTAAGACCCTGTCTCCCATGCAAAATTCAGTCAAATAAACAAAAAAGATAGAAAGAAATCAGAGGTTTTTACTGAAGTTCCTACAAAGAGTTATGCATGCATTTTAATTCAGTATTCATCTTCCAGAAACCAAAGTACCCAATTTAAACTGTAATATCAATAAGATTTTACTAAAAGGCACTGTGTGTTTAAAATGTTACAAATAGACAGATGAAAACATCAGCAATATAAATGTTGATCATAAATAATCAACACAGGGCAGGAGTAAAGAGCTCTTGCTAGTCTTGCATACAGGAGGTCTTAATTGCCAGTACTTACATGGAGGATCACAACTATTCATTATTACAAGTTCAAGGTTTCTGAGACTATCTTCTGATTACTGTGAAGACCAGGTACCCACATGGTGCATATCCATGCATACAGGTAAAATACTCATATTCATTAAAAAGTTCAAAACAAACACAACAAGCAGGAAGAAGGTGATGCATCAGCAACCCAATGACTTAGAAGTCTCAGGCAATATTAATGTCATGAATACATGCCATTCTGAGAAACAGAATGATACCCTCTGTGAAATTTTAAAATTCAAGATATGGATGAAGCTCAGTACAACAAAATTTGCTTCAGTGGACAAAAACCTACATTCCAGGCCCATCACTCTATAATATAAAAAACAAACAAAAAGCCAGGAATGTTGGCCTACATTTAATCCCATCATTTTGTAGCCAGAGTCAGGGTGATTTCTGAGTTCAAGGCCAACCTGGTGTATAGAGCTACTTTCAGGACAGCTAGGGCTACACAACAAAACTTGTCTTAAAGAACAAACAAAAAATTAATACAACAGGCTATCAAACTGCCTTAGCACTGCATAGCAATTGCTTCTACTGTATCTTATGTGATTTAGGGAGAGAGTCTATAACAGTGGTGAAGACATGACAGTACAAGAAGGAAGCTGGCTGATTAGTTTCAGCCATAACACTACTGTTATGGCTGACATAACAGTAGTGTTATGTCCTATCTACTGACACATGGAACAGGAAATGTGTTAAGGCTATAGAGACTCATATGATATCCCCAATGAGGAATTTCATCCAGAAAGTCTCCTCCTACTGATGGTTTCACAAGCAACTGAAAGAAAGTCACCAAGGAGAGACACAGGCTCAAATACATCTTCCTATCTGGGAGGTTTTTCATTCAATCAACTACATTCTGACCTAAGTCACTATAGGCTAATGGTCATCCATGAAGAAAATACTTTAATCACTTCAGTGATTCTTATAGTCTACAACAGCCCTGTTCATATGTCCTGTTCAAAAAACACTGTTCAAATGTCCAAAATCTCTTTTAACATTCAAGATAATCTCTTGACAGTGACATCTTGTAAAATCAGAAAACATGTTACATCTTTCCAACATACAATGGCACAGAATGGCATTCACATTCCAAAAGAGAGAAATGGAGACACAGTGAAGGAAGATTGGACCACAGCAAGACTGAATCACAGCAGGACAAACATCAACTCCTGTAGCTCTGTCTCAGATGCATGGGACTTCAGTTTTAAAGGACTTACATGACCCTATCCCTGATACTTCTCATATCTCTCTCTCTTTGGTTACTTCCACTCCCAATATGCAGCTAAGTCTCCATGGAAGATGTCTCATAGCTTAGGTATGTTAACATCTTGTGGCCTCAAAATGCAACCCAGATTGTTGTGGAATATTACTTTAAGATGTTTTATATTTGTTTATGCTGTGGAACATTTGTTTTAATGATGCAAAGGTGTGTTGCAGTTTTTTATGTTGCATTTTTTTAACTGTGCAGCTGTGATACTTTGCCTATATAAAATAACTAATTGGTCTAATAAAGAGCTGAACAGCCAATAGCTTGGCAGGAGAGTATAGGTAGGGCAGGAAGGCAGAGAGAATAAATAGGAGAAATCTGGGAGGAAAAAAGGAGAAGCAAGAAAAGAAGACACCAGGGGCCAGCCATCCAGCTACAAAAAAAGTCACAGAGTAAGAAGTAAAGAAAGGTATACAGAACAGAGAAAGATAAAAGCCCAGAGGCAAAAGATAAATGGGATAATTTCAGTTAAGAAAAGCTAGCTAAAAACAAGCCAAGCTAAGGCCAGGCATTTATAAGAAAAGAGCCTCCATGTATGTGATTTATTTGACAGTGGGTGGCAGGCCCCCAAAAGAGTAAAGAGTTAACACACACACACACACACACACACACACACACACACACACACACACACACATATACCAAAACAGCCAACCAACAATACCAGGTTTCATCATCACAGCTCATGCAATGAACTCTCACAGTCTCTTCACTGGGTGTCTACTCTACTAAATATAGATGCCTGCAACAATGCTGAACTGTAACCACAGACTAAGAATCTATGACCTTAAGTTTTCTTTCTTGTTTCCAGACCAGTACATGTTGGGTGGTCCTGAAAAGTTTGATTTCTTAATTGGGATGGACAATAACAAACATGGATCACAGGTATGTGGTGATATATTGTGTACCCTAATAAACTTGCCTGAGGATCAGAAGACAGCCAGCCACTAGATTAGACATAGAGGTCAGGCAGTAGTGGCACACACCCTTAATCCTATCACTTGGGAGGCAGAGATCTGTCTGGATATCTGTGAGTTCAAAGCCACACTGGAAACAGAGCCAGGCAGTGGTGACACACACCTTTAATCCCAGTACTGGGAAGCACATATGCCTTTAATCCTAGGAAGTGACAGCAGGGCAGAGAAAGGTATATAAGACATGAGGAGTTAGGAAAAAGGCAGTTCAGCTGAGACCCTTTTGGGTGAGGACTCAGAGGCTTTCAGTCTGAGCATTCATGGAGACAGGATCATCTGAGGTATTGGCAAGATGAGGTTGGCTGTGGCTTGCTCTGCTTCTCTGATCTTTCAGCTTTCATGTCAATATCTGGCTCTGGGTTGTTGTTGTTTTTTCTAAAAAACCATCCAAGATTCAAACATCTGGTGTCCAACTTGTGGGGCATGGTTCATGAAAAAGCTGCTTGCCTGTGGCCTTGCAGGCCATGGCTCAGGTCCCAGTTGCACTCAGCCAGAATCTCCACCTCATGTGGGCTCGAGTCCCTAACCCACTAGCTAAGTTTTTGTTGCAGCCTCTCTGCAGCAAACACCATAGGATTTTTTTTTTTGGTGGTGGTGGTGGGGCTCCAAAAACCATAGAAGTTAGCCACTTTCTCATGTTCCCTCATACAGACGGCTGGCTCTTTGGCTTCTTCTCTCCTGGTAGGTTGAGGGCTCTCCCTGGATCTCCATCTTGGGCTGCTACCACACTAGGTAGTTGCCTTGAAACCTGCTCAGGCTTCTACTGTTCTACACAGAAGCAGTCAGCCTCACATCTGAATTATCATTGTCGGCAGATTTGGTGAAACAACTGGGATTTCTTAAAGGGAGAAATTAGTTAAAATTTTTTTCCCAAATTAAAAAATGGGAAACATTTTTACAATGCAGGGAATTTGGTTTCTGTTTGATAATACAATTAACAGTCTGAAAATGGAACAATTAAATGAGAGGATAATTAATATAGATGGGATTTATGTAATGTCAATTATAAATACTATTTAATTATTTTTGTTTTATCATTAAAAAAGGTTATATCTTGATTAATATAAGTGCCAAGATAAAAGTTTTAGAAAAACTTGTTAAAACAAATCATAGAAAATTCAGTCCCAGACAGAGGAATTTAAAGGTGAATCAATCTCAGCATTGCATTATATGTTACAGACAAACAGCCTAAGGCTTTCAAACAGCCAATCTTAATCTATCCAGTAATCTTACAAGAACTGCCAAAAGCTCAAGGCTGTGTAAGAGCTGACTGAACTTCTGTGCAAATGTTAGATTTCCCTATTTGTGAAGCAGATGTTAAACTTGTGGTCAACTTGCAATGGAATTATCCCTCAAGACTGGAGAGATTTGGTTACAGCTGTTGGGGGACCTGGTGGAAGGATGAGGCTAAGACCATTGAACAATGAAGTAGGACGAGAAATTCAGAAGCTAGACAGACCAAGTTTGAGAGCCAATCACCAATGACCAAGAGGACACTGAAAATACCAATTTTAAAGAAATAAACCCAGTGGAGTGCCATTTATCATAGATTTGGAAAAACATCACAGCAGCAACAGTCATCTATAACTTCCAATGGAGAAAAATATCTCTTAAATCAT